ATATATATAAATGATATATGTACATTGGGACAGCCATGTTTGCTAGTTACATATTCAGGCTCTGGTTTTCAATGATTGTGCCTTACTGTTCCTTCTCACAATGCATGTTTATGACTATGACCAACTGATAGAACTCAATATTTTACTATTTTCCTGTGTGGCTGATATCTTGTCTCAACAGTTCACACCAAATCCGGACCAGATCTGGATGAGTTTCTGCATATGCAGTGCAGTGCGTTTTGATGCTTTTTTGCTGTGTTCCAGTCAGTTTTTTTCTTGCAGCCTAAAATGGGCTTTCAGCTGTAGTCCAGTGTGTTCCAGAGCATTTGCATGTGTTTTGGATGTGTTTGCATGCTCTGGAACTGAACGCTGTGGTGTGAACTAGAGCCCAAAATACCATTGGAATACATTGGATGCATTTTTGATGCGTTCTTAAAATGTTCTGCATCTGCTCTGCACTTGGTGTGAACAAGCCCTAAGAGCCCGTTCACACTAGATGCAATGCGTTCCAGGCCGATTCTGGCAGGAACGTACTGCCTCGCATTGCGGCCGGCTCACTTTTTTGTGGGGCAGGAGGGGGCGTGGCGGGCCATTGAAGTGAATGGCACTGTAACCACGCCCTCCGGCCGCAATGCTATAGGCCGCACGGGATCTCAATTTTAATCGCACCGGACCGCAGGCATAATGGGCCTTGCGATCCCGTGCGGCCGATTGCATTGCAGTCGGAGGGTGTGGCTATGGTGCCATTCTCTTCAATGGCCCGCCACGCCCCCTCCTGCCCCACAAAAAAGTATAAATCCTGTATATTATTAATAATAATAATAATAATATACACTCACTGAACATACACTATGCTTTCCTTTTAACATTTTGAACTGAGCAGGGAAATGTCACAGCTCTGAGAACGTTTGAGCAAAGTGTGAGTGTCAGGGAATGAGAAAGTGAAATTATGACACTGTCAGTGAAGTCTAAATGACTGAGAGAAATTGAGAACATGAAGTGTCTTGGTGAAACAAAACTGTCAAATCAAAGAAAATAAAATTACACAGTGTAATTATCCAATATTTAATTGCTGCTTTACATTAGTGTTTCTTATGTAAAATGCTAATTTTAGAAATAGTTGTAATTACCTCTATGGTGACATCCATGGTAGAGCTGTGACAAGCTTCCATTCTCTGTTGTTTCCCTCTAAATTATAGGTTTGCTTTTGACTTACAGTCAAACATGGAGCTGCCAGCAAAGTCCTGGTAGCTGTGCCTGGCACTGGTTTCTGGCACTGATAGTGCTGCCCAGTGCTGTAGTTGTTTAAACTTGCTACTGGGTATTAATGTTCATGAGATGAGTGTTATTGGAAACAGCAAGAACTGTTTCTCAGTGCTGGCAGTGGGCATTGTAAAACACTGTGTATTTGTTAATTTTTTTTTTTAGGTAGGCAGAGGACATGGTTGAAAGGGCGCTAAACTAAAATCCTAGTTACATTGATGTTAAACTCATCTGGCAGCAATACCATGTTATGCACATAAGGCAAATGCCATTCATTTCTGTATATAATGTAAAGCTGGCCCTACACCTATAGGGCTGAATGCCCGATTCCCCCATCCATGCAAAACAGCTTAGCTGGAGGTATCTCCCTTGCTGGCTATTGTATTCTGGCAGTCAGTCTGAACAATAACTACATCTGATTTTCAGTTGAAGTTTGTTGAGCTGAGTGGTTTTGACAAGGCCACCCACAGTGAGAATTTCTATTAGTTATAGCCAGCTTAATTCTGTTTTACTTTAAATGATTTCCTATCCAGTTACAGTAGAACTGGATTTGGATAATGTGGGAAGGGTTAGAACCTCTGTCAGGATTTTATAGCTGTCTGTGGCCCAAAGCGGAGATTCTTCTTTCAACCTCGCCCAACACTTTTCACAGGAACGGTAGTAAATGTGAATCTCCCCAGTGGGGGCACAGACTGGAATAAAAGAATTTCAAAGCCTCATTCGCACGGGGCTTAAAAGAGAACTATGGGGTAAGTGTTTTTCCCATAGTTTTCTTAAGGGTCACAGGAGGACATATACTAGCGTCCTCCCGTGACCTAAAGCTCAGTATATCGCGAGCTACAGCTCGCGGTATACTGAGACCGCAGCAGCCGGGACGGATCGCAACATTACTGTCGAGATCCACGCAGCTGCGTCAGTGACAGCTGGCTCTGCCTATCTAGAGGCAGCTGTACCTGCCCCCTCCCATGTCCGCTCCTCCAGTCAGCACTGGAGGATCGGAGCGGGGAGGGGGGAATCCCTGCAGGGAGCCGTGACTGACAGTGTCGGCTCTCTGCAGGGAGATGATCGAGAAGTGAGCGAGCGGCGGTATGTGTTCCCTCACTTCCCGATCTTTTGAGCCGACGCGTGACAGTTTCATTGTCACAGGTCGGCTGGAACTATGGAGGATGAGTGATTTTCACTCACCTAAAAGTTCTCCTTTAAGGCTGTGCCTTGGGATTTCTGTGACAGGAATCTACAGATTTTTGTGGCAGGAATCCCAGGTGTGTACATACAGATGTCGCTGCTGTGCTCATTCAAGTGTATGACAGGGTGACAGCGTCCGCGTCTCTCAGTGGCTGTCCGAATTTATTCGCACATGGAATTATTACCTGCAGTTTGGGAGAGTTGATTTTTCCTGGACACAGACAGACTGCATCCAGGGACAATCATCTATCCTGAACCATGAATAATCGTTCCGTGTACAATTACATATGTACTGCTACTGACAGATGTGGCAGCTGTCACTCCGTCATTAACTTAAATGGGCACATCTGCCGCATCTGTACGGACACATCTGGGATTCCTGCCACAAGGATCCGTAGGTCCTTGTGGCAGGAATCCCCAACCGCAGCCTTGCGCCTGTGTAATTCGGCCTTACACTCTGCAACTCTTTCTGT